GCCATATGAACAGTCTACAATACAGTGTTTCTCAACCTCGGAAAATTTAAAACATGGGAACTAAACCCCCCAAAATCCCCACCCGCCAGGGCTGGCTGGGGAATTCTGGGAGTTGGTCCACATGTCTTAAAGTTGCCGAGGTTGAGAACCACTGCTATAACACTTTACTGACAATGGTCAAAGGCTATGTACTGCCAGCTTCCCCTGGCAGTTTTAGGCAGCTGTTGGCATATCTCCTTCCACTCTGGTCTCATTACACTGTTTTCTAGGGCTATTCTACTTTTAGCAGTAGGCAAGTCTATTTTTTTTCAAACTGGGCAATGCCCCTGTCCCAAACAGCCTTCTTTCCCCATTTCTTCTGCCTCTGTAGTATTGAACACCTGGCAGGTAATTCTCATCCCCCAGGTCTTTTGCCATTGTACCAGCACCGGCAGCTGATGCCAAGGCTGGGCAGAGTGGCAAGAGAAAGGAGTGGGGTGGGGAGCCAACACTTTCTCCAACCGGTCTCTGATCACGCAGCAAAGCCGTAGTGTTTGATCTATGGGATGGTTTGGGATGGTGCCATAATGCTCCTGCTTTACTGGGCAAACCCAATTCAGCCAATGAATCAGGTGCCCACACACCTGATCAGGTGCTCAGGGCTTCCTGATAAAGCAGCTGACAAGTGTGTGGGGGTGATGTGAAAAGGAGAGTTGCTTCCCATCTGAACTTCAGCTGCAGCTGTTTTTCAGGCTACTTTTATACCTGAGTTTAACACGACACTAGAATAGTACTGAACCTGTGTCCAAAAGGAGCCCGATTATCAGCTGATCACCTGACAGTTAGACTCCCTTTGGATTTATGCAAAACACTTGTGCAAAATCACACAATGGCCAACAGTCATGGTAGCTGAGAATACTGGGAATTGTAGTCCCAGCATATCTGAAAAATGGTAGCTTGAGGAAAGTTGTTCTACCAATTACAGCCATTATTTTTATTTTATAACGGTGGAGACTTGACTCATTTTCCTGCTCCCTGCCTCCTCTATGTGATTCAACCTTCTAGAGCAGATTTGGAGTATATGCAAGAGGTGGCAGGAGAAGGAGATATTCATTTCACTGGTGGATTCCTTTCCATCAGTCAATAATGACCACACCACTATAAAGACCCAAAGTCACTGCACTTGACAGAATTAAGCCAGTAGGTACTCTTAAGCCATACAGTAAAACCCAAAAATAACAAAACATTGTTTGAAACAATAACTCAAACAATTATGATTTTTTTAAATGTTATTTCTTGAAAATTGTTGCCCATATCCATTTCTTGTTTGTGAGGAACGATCTATTAATAATGACAGTGGGAAGCATGTTTTCCCATTTACTGTGTTTATATTCAGGATAATATTTGCAGAAAAGGAAATAAGTTTATATGATAACTTAGCAGATGCAATGGACTTCAGAGTTTAATATGATTTCCTCAGTAGACTCTTGGGAGGAGAAAAGGGCAAAATAAACTAAGCTGTGTTGTTCCTGAAGTTTATGTTGAATTAGACCTAGTTTTGTTCCTTTCATTCTTCCAGCACTGCTTGTCAACAGAAATAACTTGATTAGGGAAGCATGGTGTGGTTGTTGATCATTGCATGAAAGACTAAGAAAAATATTCACCTGGGTCTTTTTTAAAAGTGAGTCCTGTTCTTCTCCCATGAGACCCAAAATATTATGCTATAGATTCAAGCATCATCAGGAATATAGTACTCTGGAAGAAGGAAATGAGATCAGGCTTTAAACAATCTGAAAACTTCTTAGATTGTATGAGAAATGTCTTTGGCCTTCATGCAGGAGATAGTTGAATCACCTACCTTTTAAGGAAGCTATATTTTCTTTCTTTGTTTCTCTACTATTCATTATCAAAGCACTCTTTGCTCTGTTATGCAGTGTGGATGGCCAAGATGAAGGCAGGGAGTTGGATTTCACTACCTTGCTGAAAAAGAGGTGAGTGGTCACTGTGCAGCCAACTCACACTTGAGAACAATGGCATAAAATGCTAATGGTACCAATGAATTGGGTCAAGTCCTTTGGCAACATTCTCACATCCATTTTCCCCAGGAGGAGGTGCTGGATATCTTAAGGCTGTCAGCTGGGGCAAACTTCTATTATTTCTAATAAAAAGTGGGTGACTATAATAGCATGGGAACTGACACCTATGGTTGTTGCATCTGATTGAGCAACATAATTTGTCAAAAAGTAAATCCAGGGAGAACATTCCCCAAAATGGCCAATTCAGTATAAGTGGTACTAAGTAGTATTAAGCTGCATAGTACTATAATCTAGAATATGAACAGAAGGCTGAGAAAGGAGAAGATTAGTTAATTTAAGGCCACTTGACAGGTTGATGTAAGAAATTAACTTTCTCCTATTTTTTTCCTATTTGCAGGTATCTTTTTTTTTTTTGTATTAACAATTTACTTTTCTGTCCCTGATTTTTCATACTTTTCTCCTTTTTCTCCTTCTTTTTGTACTTTGCTCTGATTTGCATCTCCACTTGGAAATCTTGCTTGGAATTCTGGAACAGAGAGTAAGATTCTATTTAAATTCCTTTTAAACTGCATGGAACTTATGAAATATGTATGATTTGCAGTATACATAAGAATCCATTTTTTTCAATGCTTGGAGCATCATAAGTTTAGATACCTCAGATATTAGTTTATATATAGCTCTAACGGTTGATGGAGCAGCTACTTTCATTAATTTGCTTTTTTTTAATATTCTAACTGCTTTAAAGCAGTTTTGTTGTGTAATTTCCAAACTTGGTTATTTGGAACTTTGAACAATTTCAGTTCCATTTGAGCATCAGCACGGCACCTTTTCAGTCAATGCAATCATACCTAAGGACCATTTCTCTGCCCTCTTAAAATAACTGAGATGGACCAGCTTTTCTACTAAGTAGCTTATAAACCATCCATGGATCGTGTTTTGCAAAAGCTCTTAAACTAAAATAACCTCTCTGCAGTAAATTGCTTTACAGCATCTTTTAAAATAACAAGCTGCTTCTGCCCTCTGTTAGTGTCTTATGTTGCTCCAGTGATGTATTGTTTGGGCCTGAAATTGACTATATTAATGTGAGATAACAATATTTACTGGTACTTGATTTTATTTAAAACAAAGATTATCCTTCAAATGAGGTCATTATTTTGCTATGGTGATAATAATTTTCAACTATACCTAATGAAGAAGTAAGGAATCAAGGAATACATGACACTTCACTACCAACTAAACTAGTTTTTAATAATAGGAAAATAGTAAAAAAGTATATTTTCACTAAGCATAGTGTATATTAATGTCAATTATGTATGTTTCCATTGGAATGTTAGACTAGCCAATTTGGAACCGGTATTGAATCTAAAAACTGCCAGGATTGGCAGGAGGTCCTATTCTAGGAGAGTTGAACTGAAATGACCTCTAAGTATTTCTACTGGATCATTGGAGTGTTTTCCACACCCCAGCCACCGTGAATTAGCAGCCAGGATTTTCAAGACTAAAACATAGTATCTAAGCAGATGTTAGCCACACCCTTTTTAAATAAATCATTCAGCAATTTGGAATTCTATACTAAAGTATTACTTCTTATGCTATTAGGATGTTCTGTTTACAATGAAGATGAATTATACTACCAAAACTATTATTTTGAATGTAATCTTGAGAAAATATTCTTTTCAAATATTTGAGAATATCTATATCATAATGTTTGAGAGGAAAATGCCTGCCCGCCTTCTTTCTTTCTTTCTTTCTTTCTTTCTTTCTTTCTTTCTTTCTTTCTTTCTTTCTTTCTTTCTTTCTTTCTTTCTTTCTTTCTTTCTTTTTCTTTCACTACTGTTAAGCTTTCTAAATAAGCAATATAAACAACTGGTATGCAATCTATGAATGTGTACCCTGAACCAATATCATTCATACATTTGCATTAGTGGGTGCAGATGCAGGCTGAGATCCTGATGGTGATAAGAAGGCTTTAATGTCCTCTTTGCTCCCTTTAGCAGTTCTGGTTCAGAATGAGGGATAGCTATTTGTACTGGAAAGAAAATTCTTGTTTCTACAAAATAGCAGCAAGATGATGTGCTAATTGTCCACACTTGCACCATTGAAATTTACTGACATGGTTGGAGGTTCCAGAGTCACAGAAATGGTTTGGGGGAGCTAAATGTTGCCCACTCTTGTTCTAACTGCTGATATAATAGAAAAAGCATATAAACCTTCTCTTCCCCTACTACTAGTTCCAATCTGGACTGGGTACCCTCTGCCGTCTCTCTCTCAGATATATTTTGGCAATAGCTCCTGTATTATCTGAAAATATAAGACAACCCCTGTCTTAAGAAAAGACTGAAAAAAAGATTGTGTGTAGAGATGATAGATAGATAGATAGATAGATAGATAGATAGATAGATAGATAGATAGATAGATGATAGAGATAATGTATGTAATGAACAAGCAATCAATATACACCAAGAATATAAATGTTGTTCATCTTTCTGCCAGCCCTTACACTCTGCTATCATCCTTCCCTTATTTCTGTTCACCAGCTTATTAACTGTCCTTCTTTTTCCATCTTCTTCTTTTTTATTTTCTTCACCATCCTCATCTTCTTCAGGCTGAAACAATAATCCTCAGTTCTGTCCAAGGAATTGAAAGCAGAGGATTTTAAAATTCTTGCATTACTTTTTGTAATTTTGTAATGACCATTCAGTTAAGTCGTGTCTGACTCTTCGTGACCCCATGAACCATATTGCGCCAGGCCTTCCTGTC